TATCTAGTTTTTTTTAGTAACTTATATCAAGTCCAAGAATAAGTACTATATAGCACACCTTATTCCTTAATCTGTAGGCTTTTCCAAACAAATTTGTCTAAAAAATTTTTATAAATATATTTATGATCTATATTTTTTAATTTTTAAAATATTTAAATAAAAATTTTTTTAATAATATTTGAAAATAAGAATTATATTATAGTAGTATTTAATTTTATTTATAAGAAAAAAATTTTAAGTTGCTTATAAAATAAAAATAGACCAATTTAGAAAAAATTTTTAATCAAAAAAATTATCTAATTATTCTTGGTAAACTCTTTAAATATTAATTTTAAAGCTATAGTTCTTAATACAAAATTATAGCTTATATAAAAAATAATAATTGTTATTATTACAACTTTTGCAACTTAGTTATAAAAATTTAAATTTGTATTAAAAGCAGAATTTTTTTTTATCTTTGAGAACATATAAAATCTTAAAAAATTTTGAAAAATTTTTAATAATAAAAATGTTTAAACATAAACTTTAAAATTTTATTACTCAAAAGTTTATTAATAATTTTAAAAAATTTTTATAATAAGGTTATGTAAATTAATTAATTGGTTTTCATAAACCGGCTGGGTCGAAATTTGAAAATTTACAAAAAAAATTTTTTATATGTTTTAATAACTGGGTGGGTATTTTAAATTTTTTTTAAAAAAATTTTATAAATTTTTATATATGAAATTTAAAATAAAAAGACAACTGACTGGGTCTGTTTAAAAGTTTCATGTTATGAAAACTAATATATTAAATTTATGTGAGCTAAAGTTTATAAAATATTTTTTCAAGAATATATTTTATAATAAATATATATCCATATTATTAATAAATTATTATTTTATTTAAAAAATACTAAATACTATTTAATTTTTCAGGTAAATTTGTCTGGAATATAGTTTAAGAGATAACTAGCTTCTTTGAGACTAAGGTTTTTATTCAAGTATATTGGTAAAGGGCTTGCTTATAGAACCTCTATATCTTATATTACAAATTCATCTAGCTTGTATTACCAGTACATCCTTGGCACAATTATCTATTATAAGAAATCTCAGATGCTTTCCTTATATCCTTAAGACTAATTTATTCTTAAGACATCATTAGCTAGAGCTTTTTATATTCACAATCTGACTAACCTAGACTTTGATAACTTATGCTGAGTTTGAGGACAAGTACTTGTAAGCTAAAGCCACTACCATTTTCTATTTCTGCTCTTGCAGAGTTTACCCAAACTCCAGCACATACTTTACAGGCTAACACTAACTTTTCTTCACCAACAGTGCCTCAAACTTCTAATCTAGATAGTCTGGAAAAGGACTAGTGAGTGTCTTTTTAGTATTTCAATTGAATCCTTTTTCTTTGTATATATGGGTCACCAGGATTCTGAAATATATATAAATAGATCAAGTTAGTTTCAAACACTTTTAAAAATATGAATATGCATTATTAAAAAACTTTGTTATTTTTAGTAAAATCATATTTATTAAACCTATCTTCAAACATAAATAAAAAAATATAACTGTATTTTGTATATTACAATTAGAGGTGATAATATATATATATACTATCTTTTAATATTTGTACATGTTTATTCAGAATTTTTTTAATCTTTCTTGCTAAATTTATTGGTTGAAAAAGCTATTCTTTTATTTTTATACAACCTAAACACATCAAACATGTTGGATAAACGTTCAAATAAAAATTTAATGAGTATATTAACGTTCTAATGCTCCGTAGTAAGTGTTACATGTGATTCAAAAAGCAGTTTTTATATACTAATTATACCGAAATTACAAACTTAATCGAAACGGCCAAAAAATTATTTGGCTAATTTTTACCAGGTGTTCAGAATTTATGAAAACAGCTGTATTGATATAAATATAATTTGCAGTTATCATAATTTCTGGAACATCTGATAAACATTTGACGAATGAATTTTGGCCGATTCGGTTTAGTTAGTGATTTCGGCATAATAATAATAGATTTAATAAAATCAATATCCGATTCATTATACGTACATTCGCACGTACGTACGTACGTACGTATATACGAACGATCAGATTGATATTCTTTCATCATAATTCTTAATTATGAATTAGCGAATTATGATTAATAACTCTCTGGTTTCGAAAAAAAACAACACTATATAATACATCTTATAAATTGATAAGTTTTTAAACTTTAAAAAAACATTAAATACTGAAAGAGAAATTAAAAGCGCAGTGAAGTGTATTTTTTATAAGCGCTAATTAGAACGTGCAGATCTTCAAATTTCTATACTAGGGTATATAGCAGTATAAATTATCACGGGAAATCAGTGATCTACTTTTCTTTATATATAGAATTATTTGCGATTTTGACTCAAAAATCATTTTCGCTATTTAAATTTACGCCAAGAGCAAAATATTTCGACAACCATGTATAGGGGGGGTACCTTACTTGTCTGTCTTGCAGGAATTGCCTGGTATCAGCTTGATCGCTATCTTACAAAAAATGGACAGGCATGCTATATTTAATTGTTCTTGGAAATTTAATCTATATCACTTTTTTTTCTTTTTAATTCTAGTGTTTCCCCTTTGCTCTTACAATTTAGGCGAAACATCCAATCACAGAGGTTTGTAAACCTTCTAACAACTATAAATGTTTAAAGATTTCTATTATGACAATTCAATAATATTGTAAATCGCATAGATTATCGAATCTCTTATGACTTCAGACTCTGAATGGAAACGGATCAATTTACGCAATACCGAAACAGCACGTATTTTAGCTAATGACAGGTACATCCGAGTAAATATATATTATATAATATATAAATAAATAGGATTAACATCTCATGGAATATGACATTTTCAACAATTTCAGACTTCTGTTTGCAGAAGCTAAACGTCCCCCAATTCATAGGCTTATACATGCAGAGTAACTATATTTTAACTTAGGTGTTTCTTGACCCTTATAACAGAAATTTATAATTATGAATACTTTTATCTCAATAATAGGTGCTTTGAGCGAACTAGCCCGTTTCTAATTGAACCTGGAACTGACGTTGATTTATCAGATTTAGTAGTCAAAAATAATTACGATTAATCTGAGAAATAAATTTTTGTTAAAATTAGGAACCTTTTCTTAAATCATAATTTGTTAATATATATTAAAATAAATAGTATTTTGCTGTTCCCTCTTTCATATATTAGATTAATAAATCATTGCCACTCTTCATTGATTATTATACCTTAGAGTACTGCATTTAGTACCCAGGGTATAAATCAAAAACATGACGCTTAACTTGATTGTACCCGGGGGTACTGTGTAAAGAGGAGGGTACAATCCAAGATGAGTATTTTGAACCAATCTTTAGGAAGGGGTTTGTTTTTATTGGACATTACTAGTCTCGAAAGCCTAACTTATACCCCAGGATTTTTTACGTGATGTACCCGGTTTTAATGTGGGGGTACTATCTGTGGTACTGAATGCAGTGCTCTATGGTTTATTTAAAATTCGGATAACCAAACAAAAAAAAAAGAGGATGAAAAAATTTTTTTTTAAAAAAAAAAGAAAATGCAAAAATACTATTCCTGATGGATCGGCAGTACTGATCTTGATTACAAAAAATTTATTTGAGTACTGTTCCTGATAAGGTTATAAAAACGAACCCTAATTCTAACTTTTTTCATATACTTTGCTGTTGTAGCAGTAATATTTTGGAAACCCTCTTTTAGAACCCTATCAGGAACGGTATGTAAATCGATTTTTTACTTACTCCATCAGGAACGGTATTTTTGCAAAGAAAATAGCATGTATTGAAAATTCGGCTAATAATAAATTATATAATATTAAAATCATATACGTAAAATATGGTTTATTAACTCTAAAATGAAGCGGCTAAAATTTATACGTAAGAATTTTATACCTCTACTAGTTATATCGTTTTCATTTTAACGATTTTAACGACGATATATGTGATAAAATTCAAAACATAGTATATATATACTGTATATATATATATATATATATATAATAATAAAAGGTTATGTTGGCATCACTAGTTGCAACTGGAAAAACTAATCGATTGAAAAAATTTTGCCGATTCGCAACACTAATTCGAGTTTTAAACAGGGGCGAACAGAGTTAGATAAGCAGGGTAGCATCCCTAATCTACATATTGTTACTAATTATTCCCTAAAGTTTTACTGGAAAGCAAAATAATTTGCTGATCACGTTAGTTTTGGCTTATATCGATATCGATATCAATTCTTTACTTAGGCCGCTTGAAGTTGAAACTTCGTTTAACGTTATCCCCCCTTCCTTCCCCCCCAAAAAATTAAACAAATAGAAATGAAAGTTTGATCGATATGATAGCCAGCATAGCAGTCGGGCTTTTTTTCGGCTTACGTCCGATACACTATGTTTAATTTTTTATGTTTGTTTAATTTTCATCCCTCCCCCCTCTATAAATACGAAAAAAATAACGTTAAACGAAGTTTTAATTTCAAGTCGCCTTAACGGGATTGAACATTTAGTAAATTAGTAAGAGAAAAAGGGTGTTTATTCACAATACAATTATAATGTAACAGATTGTTAGAGGTTACATATTCAACCGTTTTGCCCCGAGTTGTAAATTTTGACCCGGTTGAACCGTTTTGACACGGGTGACCCGGTTTACTATAACCCGGTTCTAAACTCTAGGCAATTCACTAAAAGTAAAAGAGCAAAATTAGTATTATACATAACTATATTTATAAGCACCATTATGCATTTACCAAGATTCAGACTTTCTCGACCAAGGCCAATAAACAATCCACTTGTATCCATTTGACGAAAACCCACTTGGATTCAAGCAATGGCATTTTTTAGTTGTGAGATCGTTGTTAGTGGATCCCAACACAGGGATATCAATCGAATAGCCTTGGTATGTATCAGCCAATATCAACTAAGATTCGAATATTATTGTGATTTAATCGTTAAAATTGATAATCAAGGCCAGAAGGTAAATGCCGATCACCTACAACATCAGGGACTGGATACAATCTCAGAGTGTGATCATAGTCTCTATAGATAGGTTTCATAGGCAACGGAAATGGGCACAAATGTGATTGTTGTAGTAAAGTTTTTGTAACCTACAATTTATTGAAGTACGTAAATTTTTTAATTTAAAGGAATCAGTCAAAAAAAGAATTAAACAATCTACCTGAATTTCTACACTCTCCTGTGCATTCAGTGGTGTTCGGATGCTATTCCGTTTGATCTTATAAACGATATCTTCGCGGAAAATAACAATTTCTTGACTACAGTATTTTATTCTTGATAAAGTACAAAAATCAATTGAATTAACTTTTATAATATTTTTCTTTATTTTCAACAATTACCTGCAAGGATTACTGGTGAAAATGGCTTTAGGTACTTTACTCTTTAATCGAGAAGTGTACATATTTGGAATGTGTCGCTGTGGAGATCTTCCATTCAAGCAAAAATCAGAACAACCAGGTACGAATACAAAATGAGAATATCTTGCTATGCTAGGAAACTCAGCAATAAGGTTTCCCAGGCTGTCAAAAGCCACTTGAAAGCAAGTTATTATTTATCAGCAGTAATGATCAAATGATTAATGTTTGAAATAAATTATAAAATTAATTAAACCTCGATATTTAGCGGAATGAACATCTGCATTTACAAATGGTTCAGATAAAAAATTTCCAATTAACACGAAAACAAACGGAATCAAATTTTCATCTTGATAAACTTTAAACATCGTTCGTAATTTGGCAAACGTCTAAATATCTAAGTTAACAACCAAAAATTTGTGAAATAAAAATCTCTAAAAATATAACAAACCTTTGATTGATCTAACCACAAATCGGACATTATAACTAAGAACGTATTTTTCCATTCTCTCTCATATCTCTTAATAACTTCCTGTGTTTATAACAATGATATAATCAAATACATACTAAAAGGAAATCTGCAGGCAACAAAAATAAAGGGGAAACCTCGTCTTCCAATGAATATGGTATTCCCAAAAAATCCAAGTGGCCTAATTCTTTTCTATTGTATAAAATAGAAATAATGATTAATAGGTGCTTTCTGAGCGGACATCTTAATTATATTATAATATACCTTGTATCATCTGGATCTTCCAACGGTGGATGCTCTATACTTGTAACTTTGAATTTTTGAACCTCGACATATCGTCCTTTAGCAAGGATAAAATTACCTTCGTTGTAAAACTCACGTATTTCCTTTCGACAGAACATTTAACAAATGAATCGGAGTGCTTATACAAGAATAATATTCTAACAAAAATATCCTTACACATTCAGATAAATCTAGCCAAATTTGCCATTCCTTATCCTCGAGTTGATATTTTCCTTCCGAGAAAGTAAGCAAACCAAATATTGTGAACTCCTCACCTTCTCGCCCGCGTAGATCTTTTAAAGAAGGAAGCTGGATTTGACATTATAAATTTTATAATAAAACGATTACACAACATAATTCTAAAGTAAATCTAATTTTCACCTTATTTTCGAATTTACTAGAATTCATTAAGCGCTTTAAATGTCCTGACCTTCGTTTTAATCGTTGATTTATCAGATCAAATCTTTCAGAATAAATTGGTGCTTTGGAACTAAAAATACTAATAACTTTCGGTTTATCATGTCTTTATATAAAAATGGTCATATTAATATTTCATACGACATAATGATTAAATGGCATCAATAAACTTAATTACCTTATAAATCCCTTTTTTTCGTTTGAAAACTTCCAACGGGGCATGTCGAAAGCATCAATTACATGAAAAAACTTGTCTCTATCAACTTTTTCGGGCATCAATGTTTCGATATCTTTAAGATTCTTCTCTTGGGAAAGTTGTAAGGCCTCAAAAACTTCTTGTAGTTTTTCGAGTTCAACAAAGTCAATTTGCCCTTTAAATTATTTGTCCAATAGTTCAATGATTTGTTAAAGAGCGATAAAAATATTATTTATTTATTTTTTGTGTGAAATACCATTCTGCTTAACATATGCGTTTGCTATTTCTTCAATTATATTAGATACATTGTTCCTTTGTAAATTATTTCTTCGAATGATATCACCAAGCTTCTCTTCCAAATATTGTGTTGATTCTGGGCGAATTATCAACCCATAAATGGTATTGAACTGATGTAAAATCATTTGGGTAAGCGACATCGTTGTGAACTCGATGCTAAGCTATCAACAGACGCGTGAATTATTTATAAAGACAGTGGGGGCTTTCGCATTTTTCTGGATTTTTCAACCAATCAGAAACATATTGTCAGCACATGATATAAACAAAAGTAAAATAAGTCGCGTTTTATTAGTAGGTTAGTGGGTTAGTGGTAGTGTTTTGAACCGGTTAGGTCTTAATCGGATAACCGATCTGAACCGAAAAATTGGTTGAGTAAAATGCAACAGGAGGGAACGTTAATGTTACACGAATGTTTATGTATTGTCTTATTGTAACTGGCCAATCAAATCACAAAATTTAAAAATTAAAAAAATAACAAAAACGATAATGAAAACG